CTTAAAGTCCGGTCTTTGTCACGCTGGGATTAAGCTTCGAGTCACGGTGCAACCATCAACCGAAGACGTTACTGTGCCGGATGTTCCCAAGATGAAGCTGTCGCCTATTAACCGCTGCACCAGGTGGTGGTGGTTATGCAGTTTCAGACGTCATCACTAAGTATTCAGATCAAGTAAGGAGTCAACCATTGAGATTAGTTTCAGGGTTTTTTTTTTTTTTTTCTTTTTTTTTGCGTTTACTTAGAGTTTGTCATGTCCTTTTCTTAAAATTTTCAAACGTTTCTATTTAGTTTTATAATGAGAATGCCCATAAATTCATAAACGTGAACACGTCGCATATGACATCTATTTCATTCTCCATGTATAAACAATAGCAAGATCTATGGTTTTGAAATTTAACCCTAAAAATTAAAGAAAGATCTAGTGAAGAATTTTTAGCTTTCTTGTCAGCCAAGTAAAGGCCCTTCAAAGAGCATCAAGCGGAGAAAGAGAACGTCAAACTTAGAATATTTCGTGACATTGTTTCACTTGCACATCCTAAAATTTATTGACTGTTTTAGAAACCCTAGTACAAACAATAGCAAGGTATATCATTTTGTAGCTTTCTTGTCATCCAAGTAACTAACTTTTGAAGTGCCTTGAAAGAAACGTCACCCTTAGAATAGTTCTTGACGTTTAACTTATACACCCCAAACTATATTAGATGTCTCTACGGAATGGTATATTCCTGACATGTTTTGATTGTGATCAATTGATCATGAGCCAATATTCCAAACTTTCCTGTTTAGCTAATGATCCACTACCAAAAACACTTTTTCAAAAGCTGTCAAAACAAAACATATCATAACCAATTTCATACAACAAAAACAAAAATAAAATTGGTTCTATGAGTAATGAGTTTATTTTCCATTTGAGAATTTCCCTTTGTTCTATGTTTTTTTGCTTCATCTAAGTTTACTTAAACAGGAAGAAAGAAATTACAAAGTGAAAAAAACAACCGTACTGTGAAATGACATTAATTACTACTAGCAAAATACAATATTTATAAGAAACAGTGAGTTTTCATTATTTATAAACGTTATAAAATGACATTTCTAAGAATACAAGTAGATCGAGAACATCGGATTCTCTTAGTTACGTAGCTACGTATTCATTTACATTAGACTGCATGCATTGACGTTATCATCATTAAACATATTACTAACTCTGTCGTCTCCACGAGAACCTACAGGGATATTACCATGTTGCTCAGTACCATTGTAGCCATGTCTATAGTAATTATAACTCTCTTTAAACTCTTTGGAAGGATCCACGAAATAGTTTTGAGTGGATGTGAAGTAAAGTGGAGGCTCAGGGTATGGCCAAAACTCAGCTCTCTTCCCAGCTCGCCTCACGGCTTTGAGCACTTTGTTTCTGTCAACGTAACCCACCACTCTCACTCTTCCTAGCTCTCTCTCAACCTCCACTGAATCAACTCCTGTTATAATAAGTTAATAACAATCAAGATCGTTACATATAAACTTGTCTTTTCACCAGATTAGTTCTTGATCTTAGATATATATGTAGTTACCTCGGAGCTTGGAGATTGCGTTCTTAACTATCCTAACGCAACCAGTGCAACACATTCTTACCTTAAGTTCAACCGTCTAGTACGTCGTCCATGTGATACATTTGTCAAAATTTAAAACATTAGTTTTCTTAAGAGAAACATAGTAACTGAATATATAAATGAAAATAACATCGCATCGTTCAATTATTTATATGAAGGAAACTTTTGTTCTTTTATTTTATTTTGGAACCAACAGTTTTTAACAAATTTTCAACATTCTCATATATTTTAATAAAAACACATTTTATATTTTTATTATTTCATAATGTTATATATATATATTAGATTATGATATATATATATCATAATCTAATATCATAAAGTACTACAAAAAGCGAATATAATGACAATTAAAAACTTGTGACAATTTTTTCCGTCAAAATATTATGACGATTTACATACATAATATTGTGATGTATTTATGTGGTCACAATATGTTACTATTTAGTCATAATAATGTGATTGAATTGAAGGTAAATGATTTTTTCACTAATTATCTATTTCTTACAAAATATATCAACACAAATATTTTAGTATGGATTTGCGACCAAATATGATAACTATACATCACTTCTAGTTAAAAATGTTCTGTAAATACCTAAAATTATATATACGTATGTATTGACTCTTCTCACGTACAATCTGATCATCAACTATATATATGAAAGAAAAGAAAACAAAATCGGTAACAATGGATACAAACAAAACCGATTGAACCAAACAAAAACAAATGATCATGCAGTCTATTTCCAAAATCGATCATATCGATTGTTCCTAGGAAAATTGGTAGGATTATAACGTTACAGTTAGTCAACAACGGGTGGCTATTAAAAGAAAGAAAGAAATAACCTGCAAAGAGAGTGGACGTTTCTTAGACATCCTGAAGTAATTTATATGTGTGGTGGTTGTTGGAGTAGACACATGAGAACGGCGTCTAAAGGAGAAGATTCTTGTAATGATAGAGACAATGGAACCGAGACTTTTCACTATCAAGGAAGACATGACTACAATTGATATATTTTGGAAAAGAACATAGAAATTAGATTGGATTCAATAAAAGCATGATGGGTATATATATAAATAGATAGAGAGGGAGAAAGATTGATGAAAGCTTTGGAGATAGGAGAAGAGACACATTGCGACATGAGTTAACAAGAAACTAAAACTTAATTACGGAAAGGTATTTGTAGAAATTGAGATGATGATGTTATGTAAGCAGCTTTTGTGTTGTTGTCCAATCTCGTGATCTCTTAGACAACACGTCGACCGCACTTGCACACTTGTGTTTTGTTTCCTTAACTATTATTTAATGTTGTTAAGTTGTTTTAGGTAGAAGAAGGGTTTGGCCTTATGAAGAGGAAAAGTATATGTACACGTGCTGAAAAATAATTAACTAAATTTTGATACAATCAAAGAAAAATAATGATACATATATATCATATTATAAAAATAATAATTAACTAGATTTTAATACAATTAAAAAGCCATCAACCGCTCATTACATCTTTTGGGGTTTTTGTTAACCTAATTAACGATAAGTTATGGATATGATACAATAAATTAATGTGTTGACGCTTGCAAAGACATTTTGAGAAAAAACACTTTTAGTGCTCTTTTATCAGATTGTTGAAATTCTCTAATTTCCAAGTAATATTCCATCTCTAATTTATCAGAAACTCTATAGTCCATTAGTTATGTCAATCAAGATTATCTACCATTATCATTGCTCATCTCTCCACCATTTTTCCTTATTATATGCAATACATGCGCCTATATCAAGCTCTTCTCTTGTATTCGGTGTTGACTCAAAAAAGGGTGGTCTCTTAGGGTAATCTTAAGTGAAGAAAAGTGAAAAATAAGCCAAAAAGCTAAGGATGGTCTCATAATTAAGAGCAAAAACTTGAAACTCTTAGAATTCTAGTACAAAAATTTTGGTAAGAACAAAACTTAAGAGCTCTCCAATAATGTTGCTGTCAGTGATGTCCCTGATTCAGTCAAGTACACGACCCATATCATTGTCAAATCGGGTGTTCACAAGTTCTCTCTACAAACTTATAGTCTATGTTCTTCACGATATCTATCTTCTAATAATGTAAGTTTCCTGCTAAAAATAAAACAAAACAAGTTCTTTATACAGACTTATATTCTATGTTCTTCATGATATCTATCTTCTAGTAATGTAAGTTTCATGCTAAAAAAAACAAAAATATATCGTTTTGTGTTGCAATGATCGAATTGGTTATAAAAAATCTAATCGAATGGAGTGACATTACATTCCTCAAAAAATGTTAAGAAAGCCAACAAGGTTTTCTTTCGTGAATTGCAAGATAGAAGACAACGCAAGAGTATGATGCAAACGCGTGTGAGATCTTATGCAAGTGATATGTTCTCCAAGACATACATGTCTTGAGTTATTTCTCAGGATGGATGGAATGACATGGAACAATACATCATTCCCTTCCAGTGGAACACTTGAAAGTTTTTCAATTGCGGTTTTAGGAGATCAATTCACGGCCTACAACATCAGCTTAAACATAAAAGATTGTTAGTTTGTTTTATAATTTTATTTTTGAGTATACTAATTACTTAGTTAATTGGAAATTTTTGTTTAGTTTTCTCATCTTAGATAAAAAGATTGTTGTTTGGAACTTAGGTAAAAGGAAATTAATCAAAATATTAATATATTTTTTTGCATATTATAAAATATGTTTTAATTAAGCAACTTTTTAGCATCTTTTGAGCAATTTTTCTAGATAATCTAAGAACTTACACAATATATGATATATGTGTATAATATATATAAAAACTTTGTTCTTAGCACATTAGCACTATATTGCAACTATATTTATTCAATCTACGATTGGTATATTAAGCTATATTTGATTCGTAAAGGACTAAATCATGTGCTTCTAACTTGTAAGCACTTACTATCTATATATTCTTTCGTGATTTGAGATTTCAATTTTTTTTTTTTTTTAAACGGGAAAGTTTGGAGCTATTCCATTGTATCAGGATTTGTTATTTAGACAGCTTTTGAGATCAATCAAGTTTACGGTGTGTAACAGGATAAATCCACTTGATGCTCTTTGATGGGCACTTTCTTGGTTGACAAGAAAGCTACAAGTTTTTCAATAGATTATATTTTTTTTGGGTTAAATTTCAAAAGATATCAATCTTGCTATTGTTTATACTAGGGTTTCCGTTGATGCATCAGAATCTAATAACACATGGGCTTGTGATATTATGCGACGTGTTCATGTTAATGACTTTATTCTCATATGATCAAATTAAATAGAAACGTTGAAAATTGTAAGAAAAAACATATGGAAAAATCTAAACGCAAAAAGAAAACCAAAAAACCAAAACAAAACCCTTAAAGTAATCTCAGTGGTTGACTACTTAGTTGATCCGAATGCTTAGTGATGACGTCTGAAACTACATAACCACCACCACCTCGTGCAGCGGTTAATAGGTGACAACTTCATCTTGGGAACATCCGGCACAGTAACGTCTTCGGTTGATGGTTGCACCGTGACTCGAAGCTTAATCCCAGCATGACAAAGACCGGACTTTAAGCTTACGAAGTAATGCACTCCTGGTCTGGTGAGCCTAACGATGTCGTGTCCGGTCTTGTAGACGGCTATTGTAGAAGTTGGGTTGCAGGATTCAAAGTCAAGTTCATTGCTGACTTCTCTAACGTCGTTGATGTGTTTGTTGTATTCGAAAAAGAGAGTATCTCCAACACGAAATTGTCTATCTTCACTCCACTTTTCATAGTAGTAACTGTTGTATACGCTCCACCCGCTTGAGTCACCGACCGCGTGCATTCTTTCAGCAGAAGGAAGGATCTTGCTCGGTGGTGGAGGACTCTGACGTGAGGGGCCATTGTCCTTGCTAGGAGGTGGTGGAGGAATCTGACGTGACGGGCCATGGTTCTTACTCGGTGGTGGTGGTGAAGGAGTCGGACGTGATGGGCCATGGATCTTCCTCGATGGTGGTGGTGGTGGAGGAGGACTCGGACTTGACGGCCCATGGACGACAAGAACATCAAGTTTCAGTCCCCCAACGCATTGAATATGATTGGAGGTGATAAAATAGTGATGTCCTGGTTCCTTGAAGGTCACGACATCGTGTCCTGTGTTGTAAACAACTTTGGGAGAAGAGTTATCACATGACTCATACTGCAAAGAGTTAGAGACTTGAGTTACGTCGTTGACGTTCTTGTCGTATTCGAACACGAGAGAATCTCCGACGTGGAATTCCTTATGTTCTGTCCAAGAGTCGTCACTCACAGTCCAACCGTAATTGGAACCTCCGACTTTGTAGGTTTTAGCAGAGCTTGAACCCAAGAGAAGAAACATGATCACAAGAACAAAGCCAAAGATCTTCTTTGTCACCATGATTCGAAACGTATGTAGAAAGATGATGAGATATCTAAACAACTCAGCTCTCTATGAGAAGTATTGTTGAATTTGTGTGTGAATAAAGAAGTCACGTATGTGCCCTATTTATATAAAATTTACGAGCTCTTCTTATCTTACTCCTTGCCCTATTAGGAATTTAATTTAGTTTTTCTTCGTATTTATCTATATGAACCGAAGTTAATCTTTTTGTATTATTGTTATTTTTTAATAATTTTTTGTTTTTTTTTAACATGACTAATATATAAGATAATGTTCCTTTTAGGAATTAGAGTCACATCTTTTTGAATCCTTACTCTAATTAGTTTTTTTGTGTGTGTTTAAAATTTAATATATTAAGAAATATATATCTTATTTACAACTACGCAAGGAGCTCGTTCACAAATTATATACTTCAACTAATTTCAATCTTTTGTGATAACATGATGTATATATTGAGTAGATAATAGGATTTATATATGATGTGCTTGATCAAATTCTACATATTTATATTTTCAAAAATCTAACCATACACTTGTTTTTTTTTTTTTCAATTTCAATATATATATATATATATATATATATATATATATAGAGATAAAAAGAATTAACCTTGGAACAGAGGGAGTATGTACTATATTATGCTTACAAACAAAAAAGAACTTTGGTTCATCTAGATAAAAAGTAAATAAATTAACTTAACAAAATCCACTTAAACCAAAATGAAAAATACCTCCTCATTCACCTCCTACTAATTTAACCACTGAAAATAGAGTAATATGTCACGTAATACTATATTTAAGGATAAAATCAATTTTAAATTAGAAAAAAGATGAAAGAAACAAAATTTGTATTTTTTATGTAAGAAAATATGGTAATATTACTCAAAAATTATGATGCAGACTATACGAACAGGGAACAACAATTTTAAGCTCTAGATACTTTTGAAGATTATTAAAAAAAATTATTATTAATTTCTCATACATGGAAGAATTGTTATTGTGATTGAAATTATTTATAATTTACAATGTCTTCTTGTCTATCTTCTTCCGTAATCATAAAAATCTAAAATATTTTCATATAACTTCCTCAAGTTATAAATCATGTATTTTACTTGGGTTATAATAGGATTGCACTGATCTTAATGACTATCAACATCTCTGTTTAAAGTTTTATCCCTGATCGTCTGTAGCATTACTAATAAGCAATAAAGAATGCTTATTAAACATATATTAAACTTTGCCAAGGTTAAACTTTTCCAAAGTTGATTATAACGAATCGGTTGATTCCATAGAAATTGGTTGATTCAAAAGAACTCTATTGATTTAAGCATTAAATAGTGCACGAGATTTTCAGTTTTCGTACGAAATTTAGTTTATTACCAATTGACAATGCTTGTTAATCTTAGTTAGACGTTTTCCAGAAAATAAAAATTTGTGACATAAGGAGTATCATTCTATATTTCCAAATTTTACCTTTATCTATAATTAATTAAACCATTAATCATTTATTAAATAGGAACATATATGTATACTTTAATTTTTTCTTAATTTTTGTGAAATGTGTCAAAATGACATATTTTTATGAAACAATGAGAGTATAATATAATGTTCCTTTTTGAAACTAGAGGAATTGATTTTCCCAAACAAAGGTCATATTTAATTGACTTTTTAATTGCTATATTTTTGCGCATAAATATATGTATATACTTTTTTGAAAAATTGTTAAGCCATTAATCAATAGTAACACTAATTGGACCTGGAGATTTGGAAAACATATTATTAAAATAAAGAGAATAGATCGATTTCCAATGCAACGACTTTCTCTATTCTTAATCTTAATGAAAATTCTTTATAAAGTAACAAAATATACATAACTTATTATAAAATAAAACTATTCGTAAAAGTTAATAGCATAAATTTATCAAAAGTAATATAATTTGAAGAAACACTTACATTACATTTCTCGATAAAGGAAGACACCAAAAACTCTCGATACCTTCCATCTTATTTATTGGTTAAGAGATTTTAGTTATATTGTATAGAGAGACGACTCAACATTCATATAAATATTTACACGTACGGTCAGGAGTATTTGGAATATCAGAACATGCAAAATTTCTGATGGGAACATTTTTTGGCCGATTAGGAAGTTGCATTATGTTGGTGAAGCACGTCCATACTCCATTAATTCCACATTTTCCAGGATAAACTTTCTTGAAATCGCACATTCGCTTTTCCTTAGATTCCACGTCTATATCAACCAAAAATGATTTGTTAATATATGTATAATATTTAGATAAACATCGTTGATACAAAAAAAGAAGAAATAAATCACTAAAATTACGTACCTCTAACAAGGCTTAGAATGAGGATTGTGGTAACACAATAAAACATAAACGAAACACCAAATTTCATGACTTTTGAAAATGATAAACAGATAGTCTCTCAAAGTTATAAAAAACTTATAGCTTCTCGTAATATTTTTTCTTTGTCAATAACACCTACTATAAATATAATATACTAATCGAGGCTAAAAATAAATATTACTAATTAGGGAAAGTAAAAAGATAAAAGTGAAAGGTGGAGACAAGTCTACAAGACCGGTGGGCTCGGTCTTTAGAAGTATTCTCTGATTTAAAACAATTTTGTTTAACAGAAATTCTTTTAAATACCACTAAAATAGGTATTTTTCAAAAATATCACAAAATTAAATATAACATTTTTAACATCTAAAATTAATTTCTAAATTCTAAACATTAAACTCTACCCCTAAAAACTATAGCCTAAATATAAATAGTCAACCCAAACATAAAAAAAAAATTCTATCTGTTTATGATATTTTTGGAAAAATAAACTCTTTGTGAATTTTTGAAATTAAAAAAAATTATGGTATTTTTGGTAAAACAAACTTAAAATATGTTATTCAAAGGAATTTCTCTTTATTTAATATATTCTTATTAAGTGTGGATATAAAATCACATAGTCACGTTCCCACGAATGCACTTTATCACCAAGAGAAAACGGGAAGAGTCATATATATTTCGAGAGCATCCTTTTAGTTAAAAACAATGCCTTAGGAAAAACGGAACCTCTAATAATAGATGAAAAAAAGTATTCATGCAAAAAAAAGGAAAAAAATTTAAGTTTTTTTTGATAAATGTAAAATTTTCTTTTAATTAAATTTTGATAATATATATATATATATATATATATGTTTTTTTTATAAATGTAAAATTTTCTTTTAATTAAATTTTGATTATATATATATATCAACGAGATATAAAGAGATTCAAATTTTCATTAAGATGAATAATAGTCAATATGCTTTTGTGGTCATGTGTTAGTATGGTGTCTCGGTAAGGGCACTACACCCGACGGTAACAATCTCTAGCCGGGTCGCTTTTGATTCCGTGTGCATTAACAAAAGGAGCACGAAAGTAGTAGGGGAGACACGTATAACGTATCGTTTCATAATCGCGTGACTGGTCGCTGCGACTAATTGCAATTAAAACAGTCGCGTCGCTGTTTTCTCTTGCGATCAAAATTTTTAATCGCAGGATCCTGCGATTATGAAACGAACAACTTTCAGTCGCAATCGCAGGCTCCTGCGACTGCGGTATATATGCATGGCAGTGGAAGAGGGGTAGATGTTTCCTCAAGTTTCCTATGGTCTTACTAGAAGTTTTGTTAAAGGATAATACTTTATTCAACTGTGGTTACTAGCTAGAATTAATATGCTTAACTGTAGGCAATTACAAAAGGTTAGTGTGACAACATTAATCTTCTATCAATACAAATGATCGTATGAGTAGTGAACGGTATAGTATTGGAATAGAAGAGAGATAGGTGTGTGTGCTCACATTTTTCTATATTCGTATGAGTTCATTCTTCGCATAGTCACGTTTACTAAAAATTATACATTAAACTTTTCTTTTTTGGTTGATAATTGATGAAACTCTCTGATTTATGTAGCCGGTGACACAATATGTGTTACAAAAGGTTTTGTAACCGAAGTTTGCACTGAAATATACCTTCGAAGTTCCACAAAACTACTGACAATACAAATTGATGGAACTATTAACGGTGGAAATAGTGGTGGCCCTGTTATTACGGGAAACAAAGTCCTTGGTGTAGCATTACAAAGTTGTAAAAGTGGGAAAAGAATTGGGTAAGTTAAAACCTTAAATCATGGATATTAGTTTTGCATACATTTGTTCATCAAGAGGTGCAACTGAAACCTTCAATTTTTTTGAATATTTTTGCACTGTTTTATCGGTTCTCTTTGGTATACACATGCATATATTTTTCTTGATGTGTTTTTTGCAGGACTCACGGTGATGTAATCCCAACTCCAATAATTAGACATTTCATAGCTAGTAGTGCAGAAGAAAGCTCTCAAAACGCCATTTTTGGCTCACTAATTCTATCATATCAATCTCTCGAAAATGATCACATCCGTGATCATTTTAAGATGAGTCCGGAAATGACAGGAGTTCTTATAAACAAAATAAACTCGTCGTCCGGGGCTTACAAAATTCTGAGAAAGAATGACATCATTCTCGCAATTGATGGTGTTCCAATAGGACTTGATGGGAAAGGTAAAGTACTATATATATATTTTACATCGCGTAAATGTTTTCGATGTTTACCTATATAAGTGATGAATATATGTTTGATGCAGTTCCTTTTCGAAACGAGGAACGAATAAGTTTCAATCATTTGATCTCTATGAAGAAACCATATGAAAAAATCTTAGTAAAGGTTTTGAGGAAGGGAAAAGAGCATGAGTACAATATCAGTCTAAAGCCGGTAAGTTCTGATTTGTTATCAAAATATTTATATATGACTCCTTTCCAATTTGTTGGCTATGTTACATTGATTTACATTTTGTTTGTATTGTTTTGTTGTGGTTAGGTGAAACCACACATTTCAGTGCAACAATATTATAACATTCCAAGTTATTACATATTCGGTGGTTTTGTTTTTGTGCCTCTCACTAAATTGTACATCGATGATTTGAGCTATATGTGTGGATGTGTATTACATGATCAGTACGAATTTACCGATGAGCAGCATGTCATAATATCTCAGGTTTGCTTTTTCTTTGTCCACAATACTGATTTTTTTATTTATTTTAAAACTCTATACCAATTTTATAGTTAATTAAGCTACTAAGATAATATCTTTTTTTCTTTTCTATATTTATATTTTAGGTAATGTCACATGACATTAACCAAGGATACAGTGATCTCGAAGATTTACAGGTAAATCATCTATGAGACTTAGTCGGATATATGCATGAATCCCAAACAAGACTTATTCATTTGTCTTGAGAAACATGGTTATGTTTTGGCTAAACTAAAATATATATTTGTGGTGTGGGAACAGGTGAAAAAAGTTAATGGAGTGAAAGTAAAGAATTTGAAACACTTGTGTGAACTAATAGAAGGATGTTGTAGAAAAAATCTGAGGCTGGACTTGGAAGATGACAAAGTTATAGTCCTCAACTATAAATCTGCTAAAAAGGCAACATTTGAGATCTTGGAACGTCACAATATAAAGTCGGCTTGGGCCATTGAGTGAGTCTTCCGATCGGCGAGCAACTTGATAAATCCCATCAAAGATAATGTAAAGGATTGACCTTCTGCTTTGGGAGTTGCCGAGTTGGCTTTATTTGCTGCGTTCAGACGTTCAAATATACTAGGGTTAACCAAGTGGTCTTGGTTTAATGGTTTTCTCTTGAGAGAAGGAGTTGCCTTGTTGATCTAGATCAATGATCAATTCATTCCAAATGCGAAATCACTAGATATTTTCATTTGGTCAGGGGTTGTTTTCTCCGAATCCTATGGGGACTACGGGTCTAAGGCTCTGAAACTCTTAATAACAAAAAAAAAATAATAATAATAATAATAATAATAACTACTATTGTTTATGGCCTGTCGAAGGCTAACAACAAGATTTTTAAAAAGGTTTGGATTCAACTTAATATAAAGAATCTTTTGTTTTTGTATAATACTAAAGAACAAATGAGTTGGGAGCTTTCTATATATGATAAGAAGAGCATGTAAAGTATTTCGAAAACAGAAGCCCCTTGGTATAATGGTGTTGATCAAGCATTTAGTAATGTTTCTAAGATCTCCAGGGTCAGAAAGAATTACCCATGGTATAATTATTTTTGTAACAGTTATCATAATCTGCAATAATTAAAAAAAAATACATATTTGGGAAACACGACTTTTAAAAAATAAAGCATTTAATACATGATTTGTCCAAATTTCAAAGAAAAATAAAGGTCAATGAAATTTTAAAGAAGGTTCCTTGGAGAAAAAGTAAACAATTATCTCTACGATAAGATAAAAGTAAAGTTCTGAAGACAAAAAATGGAAACCCTTTGATTAAAAAGGGACTTCCTATTAAATAGTAAGTTTTCAATAAGCTTGATAGGGTTTTCACGACGTGTTGATACATAATACATTAGGACGGTACTCGAGAGCTAGGGTTCCTAGTTTACTCTCTTCTCTCTTCTTCCTAAGTAACAATAATGCACTAACCAATTCACTTCCAACGGTAACAACGACCAGCCGAGTTTCAAGATACAAAGATCTATACAGGAAGAGCATGGCTGCATCAGAGAAGAGCATGGCTGCATCAGAAAAGGATGTGATTCTTCAATTAGTAACTGGCTTAATTAGAAAGATCAATACAATGCAGGAAGGTGAGAAGCAGGTAGAACGGTGGAAGAAAATAGAAGAAAGCGGTCCGGTTAATGAATTGATGCTGAACTCAGTTGTAGAGGTATCATCTACCTCTACCGTGTATGGCAAATTCAAACCTTGGGAGACTCATTCAGAAGAATCATCCAAGGGATCAGGTATGTGACTATACTTTATCTTAAAGCTCACATCAAAGTTTTGGTTACTTTGGCTTGACATATTACTGATTCATGTAGGATTCGCAATCGAAATCGCGGGAAAGAAAATTCTTACAAACGCACATGTGGTGATAGCAATGAATGATCACACATCCGTGAACGTCAAAAGACATGGCTCTTCGATTAATTACAAAGCAAAAGTTGTAAAAATTTCACATGAATGTGATTTGGCTATCTTGGATATTGATAGCGACAAGTTTTGGGATGGTATGTATCTCTTGGAGCTTGGAGATATACCACCTCTCCAAGAAGTTGTGTCTGTTGTTGGTTATTCAGAAGGTATTTATTTACTTATGATCTTATAATTCATTTTCTAATATACCAAAAAATTATGTTAAATGATGAATTTTATTTATTTATATTGTGATTTGGTTACTAGAGTTAATGTGCTTAAGTGCAGGTGGTGACAATATTTGCGTTACAAAAGGTCTTGTACTTAGAGTTGAAACTAAAGAATATGATCACAGTGACAAGGATTTGCTATCAATACAAATTGATGCAAGTATCGACCATGGAAATACTGGTGGCCCGGTAATTATGGGAAACAAAGTCGTTGGTGTAGCATATGCATTTTCCCCTAAGAAGAACTCAGGGTAAGTTAAAAGTTTAAAGTTTAAAGCTTAAACTGTAAATCGTCGAAAAAATCGATTTACATACATTTGCATCAAGAGGTGATGAGTTTTTGTGGTTTCTACATTGCAGTTTTGTGATCCCAACTCCAACAATTAAGCATTTTATAAGTGGTGTTCAAGAGAGTAGACAATATTCTTGTTTTGGCTCGTTGGATCTATCATATCAATCTCTTGAAAATGTTCAACTCCGGAATCATTTTAAGATGAGCCCTGAAATGACTGGAATTCTTATAAACAAAATATCCTCGTCGTCGGGGGCTTACAAGATTTTGAGAAAATATGATATCATTCTCGCGATCGATGGTGTTCCCATAGGAAACGATGAGAAAGGTAATATAATTGTACAATACATTTGCTTAATGTTCTCCTATACTAGTAAAAAAAAACATATAGCCACTTGACAGTAGCGAAAATTTGTGGCTATAAGGTGATTTAAAAAAAAAGATACGAATTTTTTAAACTACGACGCTATAGCCACAAATATTAAACCGTAGCCACGAATAGCCAAGTGACTATAGAGATTTTTTCACGATATGAATTTACTTGTGATTTGTGAAGTGAGCTTTTGTTTGATGCAGTTCCTTTTCAAAACAAGAGAAGGATAAATTGCTCCCACTTGGTTTCTTTAAAGAAACCAGGTGAGAAAGCCCTAGTTAAAGTTTTACGAAATGGAAAAGAGCATGAGTACAATATCAGTCTAAAACCGGTAAAAATTTATTTACACTTTGTAAAATTGCTTTGAGTACTCTGCTAGGATCATTCACATTCACTTTGTACAGAAAACAGGTGAAACCAAACGTTAAAGTGCAAGAATTTTATAACCTTCCAAGTTATTACATATTTGGGGGTTTTGTTTTTGCGCCTCTCACTAAATCATATCTTGATGGTTTGAACGAATGTGAGTGCAAAAGTTCGTGCAAATATGCATTACATGAAACTCATAGAAAGCCTGGTGAACATCAACTAGTCGTAATCTCCGAGGTTAAGTATTTCGAGTTTCACTTAATACTGTCTTTTGTATCATTTAAGCATTGTTCTTAGAGAATTTGTTGGTTTCTTGATGTAGATATTAGTAGATGATATCAACAAAGGATATGCAAGTTTAAATGGTTTGCAGGTAATTCATTTTATACTTTGTATTATGCAATTATCATTTCAAGGAAAAGATACTTAGTTTGTGGTGGAAACAGGTGAAGAAAGTGAATAGAGTGAAAGTAAAGAACTTGAAGCATCTATGCGAGCTGATTGAGAAATGTTGCACCAATGATTTGAAGCTGGTCTTACAAGATGATAAGGTTATGGTCCTAAACTATGAATCTGCTAAAACGGCAACGTTGCAGATCATCGAACGTCACGGAATAAAGTCGCATATATCTAAGGACATTTGTCTTCCTATGTTGCTTGATGATCCGTTCAAAGACAATAGGATCAACCTTCTTCCTTCGAGTATTCGTCCTATATTTGATCTAGTACAAAAGGATTGATTTCGGAAAACAGAACAAAACACTTGTCCTTTGAGTTTAACTGTTGTTTGCAATTGGCTGAAGTCTTTTAAGAGAGAAGCTCCTTTCAAAGAGTGTTTTTGTTTGTTTGTTTAAGAGAGAAGCTAAACAAGAATGGGAGAGAAGTTGAAGAAAACAACTGTTCTTCTTCTTTGCAAAAGTCTCTATTGCAAGAGAGTTCAGCATAACTTATAGTCTGATACTATACTATACTTCTGAATCTGGGATTGAACAATGTTCAGACCAAATGACTCAAATTATAGATGTGAAGCAACATTGTTTATGGCTCAGAGGGCAAAAATAGCCTTAAAAAAAACACGGATAAAGTTCAAAAAGATTTGCTAACCGAATCCGAAATGAAGCAACAAGAAAAAGAGAACAATCACAAGTCTCTGCAACCCAACCAAACCTATGTAGTGAGTTCCATAATGGCAGAAACAATATCTCCATCATTGGCTTTAAGGGCCTTGACAGCTTTAGGCCTCGAGACACCAGCTTGAGTCATCACAAGATCAATGTCCTTAGCTTCAACACCAGTCTCATCAACATCTTCATCTTCGTCCTCCTCTTGTGGAACCGAAGCTGCTTCAGAAGCATCATTGTTAGGTAGCATAGACGCAACGTCGGGCATCTTGAACCTCTGTGCAGCTTGTGCTTGTAGCTGAGAGCTCATGTCATCAATCTTGGCCTCACCGAATATCACATAGGTCTCAGAGTTAGGACTCTTGAAAACATCCGGCTTCGAGATGACAAACAACACCTAAACAATACCAAAAAACACATAATCAAACATCCGTATTCATAAACGAAACATCGATTACAAAGATTAGTCTCATTCAGGTGGTTTCTTACATTCTTTGATCTCTTGATAGTCACTCTGCTAACATCTGTGACTGGTTTCATTCCAAGTTTCAGCATAGCCTTACGACTCTTCTTCTCACTTCTACTTTGCTTGGAACTCTCATTCTCACCAGCTCCTTCACATACACACAACACAACAGACACAACAACAACATGAAAACCCCAAACTCGTAACATCCAATCAAATCCAATAAACCTAATCAAACATTTCATCAGCAGATTCTACAAACAAATCGATTCCATCACAACAAATCCACAAAATGATTCCAGAAACATCTCTAAATCATCATCTCTATGTCCAAAACAATCAAATCGAGAGAGAAACATACCATCAGCAATCTCATCGTCGTCGTCGTCATCAACATCATCGTCTTCATCTCCATCTTTCACATCCTCAACAACAACATCGTTCTCCTTCTGCTCCACACCAACAACAAACCAATCAAAATCGAAACAACGCTCAAATCAACAAAAACACATAGAGAGAGAAGAGATTACGAACCTGGAGCTTCATCTGCTCTTTGATGGAATCCATGAGCTGCTCTTCATTCACTTCCTCAATGACGGGACCTGGCATCTTCGTCTTCTTCTTCAACCTCTTCTTATCTTCTTCTTCGGAGAGAAAAGGCAAAAAAAAATGAAAACCCTTAAAACAGCGCAGCGAAACTAACCCTTCTCTCAGTTGCAGTGGCGATGTTTATAAAGAAGAGCGTAAGATAGTGAGCGCTTGGGGCTTACCCTATAAGTTAATGGGCCTTATAAAATAGCCCGTTTATGTTTTATCAGTCAGCCCATTTGACTTAAAATACATTAACCCAAATAATTCGGATTAGATAGAATAGTACCAGGCCCAAAAAGTATAATTTTTAGATTGCACACATCTTCTCATTTACAAATACAATGGAACTATATATCTTAAATTCTTAATACATAAAACTTGGTTTTCAACGTTAGTAATTAACATGATCGTGACACGTGTCAATTTTAACGATAAGAGATCTCCATGTATCAAAATTTTTGTTTTCAACAATTAAAACATAAAAAATATATATATATAAGAAAATTAAATATTTCAATATAAAGTTTAAAATTGTAAAATAAAATTAAAATATAACATACATTTATGAAAATTTTAAAGATAACTATAATTAATATTATTATTATTATATATTTGTCAAAATTATTATTATTATTGTTATTATTATTATTATTATTATTATTATTATTATTATTATTATTAGTAAACAAAAACTGCATACAAATAATTATGGTCTTATTAATTATATGAACTAAAACTTATTAATCCTAAAAGGAAAAGGATTGTAAATATTGGTAAAAAGAATTTCTTTATTGTTTATATTTTATTCTTACAAAGATGAATTTAATTATATGTTTACTCATATTAACAATTTTGTAATAGTTTTTATAGTATTATTAGTAATACGCAACAAATATTTTAAAATTTTTTTACTTATATTTTATTCTATTATATTTTTATTAATAGTCTTATCCATTAGGATTGAATGTATAGAATTAAAATAAAATTTTAGTATGATAAAATATGATGAAATATAGAGTTATTTATATATCAGGATGACGTGTAAACTATAAAGGGGGGGGGGGTGTTTGGGAATCGTATTGGGAACCATCCTCATCTAGAAATACTATCAAATTGATTGATAAAGATGACCATTCAAAAGAAAAGATACCGAAAAGCTAGTTCGTCGATTCAAACATAAGTTGCGTCTCTCTCAAAACAAGAACCACCACAAAATTGAGCTCTTCCCCTGCGACTAAGAAGTTAACTGTCAAGGCAAAAAATTTGGTTTCTACCACAGATCTTTGCCAGTTAGAAGCATGATGTCTTAATTTGTTTCTTAAAAAGGTTTTTTTTTTCTTATTTTGGCTAATTGAGATGAACTGTATCAACTTTATTTGGATTATATTGAAGATCATAATCAAGCTGAAGAATCCGATTTTTGCAACGGGTCCTAACCAATTAGATGCGGTAAGTTATAATTCTTTTTTTTGCCTAAAAACTGATATTATTTTGCTTATTTACGTTAATTGAGATGATAAATCTGAATCAACATTGTTTGTTCAGATTCAGAAGTTAAAGTCTAAGATTCTTGTTTCTCTTTTAGTGCATTATGCATATGACAGTGACGCATAGGAAGACACTTCTCCTAAACACTCATAAGTTTCTAATCTCAACATGCATTAGAAATCAATTAGGTATCCTGCATAAGAAATCAAATCTGAACGAGCTCAATAAGATAACAAGACAAAAAAGAGTGCAACTATTGATAGTAGAAAATTGAACAAGTGACCTTGGCCATCATCATTTTACCTATTTTCAGTTTTCATATAAAATAAATAATTATAATCTAGAATATTATTTAAAATTTAACATAATTTATATATCTGCGTATATATACATACCTAATCTAGTTTTTATTGAAGTTATAGTAATAATAATATTAATATAAAATCATATTTTCAGTAATTATTATCATATTATTTTATCAAATTTAATTTATTTTATAAACATTTGACTTCATAAAATTAAAATGTTTTATAGTAATTATTTTATATTTGTATGATTTGCGCGACTAAGCTGTTTTTTTTTTTGGAGATGGCAGAAAAAATTGCAAAAATGAGAAGAACTTTTTTCTTTCAGTAATATCTATTTACCAATTAATTTTAAATTTAACCATATCATTAATATGTACCATATATAATAACATATTTAAAAGACTTTTTAGATCTTTTTTTGCTTATTTTTCTTAAATGAATCGTTTTCATTTTCTACATCACCACCTTCAACTGCTTCCACATAATCAGTAATTTTGCCTTTATGATTTTCTAATCTTTAACTAATGTTTTAAATCAGTTTAACTTTTCATTTTAAACATTATATTTTCTCGACGCTCGGTTAGATACTAGATCTATATATATGTATCTTACCACAATATAAAAATGGAAGGTATTTTAAAATATCTTTTTTTTTTGTATAATCAAATTGTTAGTGAGTGTTATTGGATTATTTTTCTACAAATTCTTCTCACAACATTTTTGACATTTTCCTTGTTTTTTTTTTTGGTTCCGCTCTACCTTTCTCTTATTTTGGTATTGCCAACTAAACTGCTTAAATAAATCTTTTTGTACTAGATTTGTTAATATTAAAATTTATAATTAAAAATATATATATATATATATATATATATATGGCTAAAATCTGGATAAATTTATTGTCACTTTATATATTTTACTTCTGTAAAATTATTTATCATACATTTAGAAGGTTTAATTCTGCCTCAACCAAAACGCTTTCATACTAATTAAAAGAAAAACAAAAATTGTTAGATATGTAGTCTATTCATTATTAAATAAAGACCAAGAAGATTTGAAGATCAAATTCAATCAATACCATGATTTCTTAGAGAATTCTACTTTTTGTAAGTATTTGGAAAACAATGACGAGTGAAGATTGTTAGAAATTTATAGATTTTATAATCGTGCTCAAGGAGAATTCGACCTTTTCAAGTAACTTTTGTTTATCTTGTTTACCCGATTGTGTTATTGGGTTAGGCTGATGTGGTTTGTCTAAGTTTTGTATTTATTTGTTTGTTTTTTTTATTTACAATATCCTTTAGTGAAAATGATGATATAACATGTGATGTGGTCACCTCAAACCTTATCCATTGACCCCAAAAACAAGTAAAGTCATTTAATACCATTTCGTTTGCATGATGTGAATCTATAAGATGGGTTCAAAATGCTGACGTCGTCTCATCGGACGTCATGGGAGCTGACGCCATATATATCTTCCTTTGTCTATATCTCATATTTTTGGTCTTTTTGTTTAGTATAAGATAACAAATTGTCTAGGCGTTACGTCTTTTGTCACATGTTTGTATATACACTAATTACGTCTTTAAATGTGGTCAGTGGCATAAAAAATGCAGCTAATTCTTTGTTTCCATTGATTATAAGTATGGCGGTAGAGTGACGTTTTAGTGTAATCATACAACAAAAAATATCAGTTAAATTCTTTTACATAATCATTTTTAGAAATGCAAATAGGTATACGGTTGCTTATATGTAAATAAATAGTTATATAGTTGGTTATTTGTATAATTGAATTTTTCTTATTTAAAATAATAGCAATCATAAAATGAAATAAAAAATAAAAAATTGTTTCTAATGAAATTATACCATTTCGAATAATATTAAAACTCTCATCGTTTTAAATATTTTTATAGTTAAATATAAATTCAGATATAGTAAAATTTATTTAAAACATTATTCTGTCTATTAAATACAAGTATATATAAGTATATATAAATAATATAATAGTACATTGTACAATTATACAAAATGTATCAAATCAACATAGGGGGGTTATTGGGAGGATGATTTTAAAAGAGTTTATGGATTTCTAAAGTTTAGAGATTTTAAGATTCTCAAAATTTTTTGTGGATTCTAAAATAATGTTTACCCAGATTTCTAGAGTTTAATAGATTCTTCATATGATAGATTCTATAAATACTTGTGAGAATTGCAGTATTTTGAAAGTTGTTTTTAATGACTAAATATGTAAGGAATCATTAAACCAATAACACTAGAATTTGATAGAATTGGAAAATCAATAAATACTCAACTTTTTGAATAACAAAGGATTTTAAATAGAATTACAAAATACATACACCAATAACAAGAGATTTTATTAGGAATCTAAGAATCTATAAACCAATAACAATGGAATCTTAAACTCTAAAAATCTTTAAAAATCATTCTCCCAATAACTCCCCCATAGTCTTTAAGTAAATTTATTTTAAGATTTTTTTATAATGCAAATTTATACTATGCAATTTATGTCATTATACGATTGCGCAGTGTAACTAATCAAAACATCTATTTACTTATATTGATACACCAGTGCATCGACGATTCTTGAATCTTTTTTTGAATTCATATTTTTCGGGTTTCGTTGTGATTGACCATCTAATAGAAATTCTGGTCATCAACGAAATCTGGTAAGTAGAAGTTTTGTATTGAGCCAGCGATAGTATCCTAATCTAGAGTTAGATATTATGTCGATGAAAACTCTGAATTTAGGGAAGATGTACCGTTAGCATGACAAGGATCTCCTCCAAACTTTAATCTTTGCGACAAAAATCTCGTAATGTTTGTCGGAATCCTGTCAGTTTGAATTCTATAAACATTTTATATTTTTGTATACCGACATAATTTTAAACATTTGTCGTATTGTCTTATAACTTTTTGTCAAATATTTTTTGACTTCGGCATTAATTTTTTTGTAAAGCATCTTGGAATGCTTGCCGGAACCCCGACAGTTCGAATACGACAATTATAGAAACTTTCTGCATAATAACTAACCCACTATATTATAATCTAATATTTGTAAAATTAAACATCATTTATTCGTACCTTAAATTTGAATTTCATTTAAACTCACATTTTTGAGGAAAAAAAATTATTTCTACAGAAAAATATTTCTTACTAATTAATCGTACGTATTTATTATTATTATTATTGTTATTCTTATTTATATTTATTATTATTTTACTTCCTATCAAAATTTATAAATAAACTTTACAACTTCTTTATACATATCTTTATCTCTTTTATATATAATAATCACATGCTAAATATTAACATGCAAAGCCTCTTTTTCTATTTTATAACTTCTGATTTTACATTGTATACACAAATATAAAACTTTTAAAATGGAAAAAAAGAGAGAAAGAAAAAGAAGAAAATAAACGTTACAATTTCTATATTAACTGCTTTTGTCTTTTTATAAACTTAACATGCAAAACCTGTTTCCCTTTGTTAACTTCTAGAAATTAATACATTGTCGACAAAAAAAAAAAAAGTTACAAATGGCCCCAAAAAAAAGCAAAGAGAAAAACAAGATAAACTCTACAGTTTTTTTTTTGTTTTTTTTTCCTAGTTAAATTTTTTAATTTCTGTAACGTAAGAATCGTGTCATTTCTTGAAAATATAAGAGGAGGTTACAAAATCAAATTCATATTAGGCAACGTGGTAAAAATTGTGTGGTGTCCATGTCCTTATATAACACATCTATGACTCAAGTGTGATACCATATCTCTCCATCTCTCTCTCTCTCGTTTCAGATTACACACCAATCATGGCAGCATCAGCAACATCAAAGCTCCTAGTATCTGACATCGCATCCGTCGTTGATCACGTTCCTTCAAACTACGTCCGACCAATCTCTGACCGTCCAAACATGTCCGAGGTTGAAACTTCCGGTGAGACAATCCCTTTAATAGATCTTCAAGACCTCCATGGACCCAATCGAGCTGACATCATCAATCAGTTTGCTCATGCATGTTCCTCTTATGGCTTCTTCCAGGCAAGTCCATGAACTATTCACTTCCATGGCTCCTTTAGCAATTTACTTTTTTCTCTTCAATACACTATATTTTCTTAATATAACATGATCTGGTCTCGGATCTGAAAGAATGTATAGGCTTCGGTCTAGAACTTTTGGTTGCAAACCGTCTATGTAAATGTTGCACTACTTGTAAAAACGTATTTTTTGAATAAAATTTTACATTTTATTATTAAAAAAATACACTCTATTTTCTTTAGAATTTACTCTTGTATGAGTGTATCATTGCATGCCATTGTGTTTCCTCTATTTTATTACAAAACAGCCTTTGTTATGTACAATCAAAATGTTACTATTGCATGTTCCAGATCAAGAACCATGGAGTACCAGAAGAAACAATTAAGAGAATGATGAATGTAGCGAGAGAGTTTTTTCAAAAAGACAACCAGAGAGCGAACGAGTAAAGCATTACTCAGCAGATACCAAAAAGACAACGAGACTCTCCACAAGTTTCAACGTGTGCAAAGAGAAAGTCTCTAACTGGAGAGACTTCCTTAGACTCCATTGCTACCCTATTGAAGATTTCATCAACGAGTGGCCCTCAACACCACTCTCTTTCAGAGAAGTCACAGCTGAATACGCCACAAGTGTTAGAGCCTTAGTTCTGACACTTCTTGAGGCAATCTCTGAGAGCTTAGGTCTTCCTAAAGACCGTGTAAGCAAAACACTAGGCAAACATGGTCAACACATGGCTATAAACTACTATCCACCATGTCCTCAACCAGAGCTTACTTATGGACTTCCCGGACATAAAGATGCAAACTTGATCACTGTTCTACTTCAAGACGATGTCTCTGGTTTACAAGTGTTTAAAGATGATAAATGGGTTGCTGTTAAACCTGTTCCCAACACTTTTATAGTCAACCTTGGTGATCAAATGCAGGTAACCAAATTGAAAACGTTTAGTCTCCTCTCCCTTCTTGTGCTAATGTTTTGTGGTTGTTTCTCTTCTTAATTAGGTTATAAGCAATGACAAATACAAGAGTGTTCTCCATAGAGCGGTTGTGAACAGCGACAAAGAGCGAATATCGATACCTACCTTCTATTGTCCTTCTGAAGATGCTGTGATTAGTCCAGCACAAGAGTTGATCAATGAGGAAGAAGACTCTCCTGCTATATACAGAAGCTTTACATATGCTGAGTATTTCGAAAAGTTTTGGGACACAGCATTTGCTACTGAGAGTTGTGTTGACTCGTTCAAAGCTTCCACCAACTAAGATAGTGCACTTTAGAATCCAATCATCAGTCATGTCTATGTTGTGCTTTGGTTCTTGATGGGAAGTTAAAACCCCATTTTGTGTTGTCATTTCAAAATAAGTAGTTTACTTTATTAAACAAATCTGCTTGAGAAATAAAACAAAATTGTTCTTACAATATATTTCAATTGTATTCCTTCCGTTTCAATTTAAGTGATGTTTAAGGTTTATACACATAAAATTAAGAAAACATAAAATTTACCCACTTTCTAAAAACATTATTAGCTAAAATGAAGTTAACTAATAAGAAATTTTGATGTAAAATATGATTGGTTAAAATATATTAAAGACATTTCATTTTAGCATACAAAATTGAAAACAAAACTTAAAAATGAAACAATTTTTTTTTGGCGAGAACATTATTTAAAAAAAAACGGAAAGAATAGTATTTATGATTTGTTTCGCTTTTGACGAATACTATTTTTTTTGGTATTTGATCTGTTTCGTAAAATTACGGATTTCTAGAATTTTTGAATCGAACCGAAACAAGTCCAACATATATTTTGCGTCGCCCTTACCATCATTATAGTCGCAATTAAGCAACCGCTACCGTAACATTTGGGGATTAGTAGTGGACTAGTGGGGACTTGAACATGGCGGTATCATCGGTCAGTCAACCAACAACACGCATTAACTTTACAGTCTCTGTCTCTCGTTTACTATGTTAAACCCAATCATAAGTCTTCGTTAGTATAAAACGCATTAACTCCGGGGCTACTGAAAATAAGACATACCCACAAACTTCAACGTCGATAACACATTATCCCAAACCATGCAGCCAATTCGATTTTAACTTCATGCGGGATCACTTGGAACTTTGGAAGCTTCTCATCAACTTTTTGACAATTCCTAAAATTTTAAGTTTTGAGTAGTAGCTTCTCAGTTGGTAGTTTCACATTCTTATCTGTCTTGGTTACCTTTGGATGAAGGTCTCTTTATCTTTCTAATTTAACCTTATTAGAGTTATTATGTTTTGAACTCATACTGCGCGTGGGTATATTCAATATATTTTGGTGAAAATTATTTATAATTAACGATTAGTGAACTAACTACCCGAAACAATGTCGTCCATCTGAACTTCTCAACTCGAAATAGATCAAATGACTAGTATTTTATAAAGAATTAAATTCTTACATCTATTTATTTTGATAACCAAAGAATTAAGATCTAAAGTTTCATTTATACGTCTTTCGAAGAAAAGAAAATAAAATTTGGGTTAGGAATCCCTCATGTCCTTATAAATCTGATATTGTACATGACTAAACATATATATGAAAATTTCTAAATCCAAATAAATATACTTGAATTAAAATAAATAAAAAAAGTGAAAACTAAGCCTTCTCTATCTTTTGTTTTGGTCATCTTGTTCTTATATCATAAACATATATTTCATACAAATCGGACTATTTAAAAGCTATTAAAGCATCAAACGTAAACGTAGAAGAAAAAAACACCAATTAAAAACTGTAAAAGATGAGTTTTATTTGCTATTGTATAAGAAAACCTCATAATCGAATGAGTTATGAGTTTTATTTGCTATTACATGGTAATAAATTGTTTTAATACCTAAAAAAGTAAAGCACAACAATTTTGGCTGTATACATCCATGAGAGAGAAGCAAGAATCAAATTTAAAAAAACAATTGCTAAAAATGAACAACTAATTTTACTATATAATCAACCTAGACAAACCCAACATTACCCACCAAATCATCTTCTTCTATCACATTTATAAACAAAGAGTTTTTAAAAAAAGTTGTATCACTAAACGAAAGAGTAGCGTCTCAAGCGATGAAGAAAACATGCAATGTTTTCATGGTTATAGCTATATTGACGATGATGTTATCAGCACACATTGTTCATTCAAACAAAGCTGAAATGTGTATGAAACGTTGCATCCATCAATGCTCGAAATCAACGAAGAAACATACTCCAAAAGTTTGTGAAGAAACTTGCAAAAAAGGCTGCAAAAAAACAAGTAGTCGGTAAAGAAAAATTCTATATTAACCCTAATGGTGATGAAGAAAATCTTCTCACCAAGTTTTGTGATGCTATGCCTAAAGCATTGTGTAGTTGGCCGAGCTGGTCCTAAATTATTTATGGAAAACTCCCATTATTTTTTTTTATTCATGATTAACGTATTATAATATGTACGTATTGTATTGATTGTTCTTATAAAATAAATATTTCCACAAAACAGGTGTCTATTTAAATAAAAAAGGAAAATAAATCAACCTGAACATTTTTTTTTCGCTTCCATACGCTAAATTATAATCGGTTGTATGTTATCTCGATCGAGGTCTGTATCTCATTTCTGAAACGTTTCTTATAACAAAAACACGATTTCTAATTTTTTTATATAGAAGAAACATGATCAATTTCTAGTTTGAAAATCTAACGAAATCTTACATTTTAATTTAGAAACTAATTTAAAATACATATATATTTTGAGTAATGATATATAGAGTGATTATTTTTATATCTTAAAATTTTAATAAATTTAATTTAAGTACACATATACAAGAATATATGATATATAAAAAAATATAAATTTATGGATTTGAGTGTTTTAATATTTATCTTTTAATTAAAAGTATACAAGAAAACACGCATATTGCGACGAAAATAATCCCTAGCAAATTAGCAATGGAGTTTCAAAAAAACTGTTATATGAAAAACTAGACCACGCAAATCACTCGCAAATCCCTTGCAAATATGCAACGGATTTGCAAATCTATTGCAAGGACGTGTTATTCTCTCGCAAGTCCCTTGCAAATATTGCGACGGACTAACAAAGACTGTATCCATAGCCCATTTGCGTCGACATTGCGAGGACCGTTGATGTTGGCAAGCACGTCTTAAATGAACGCACAACCACCTTGTCGGCAGAGATACAAGCCTCGCAAAATTATCGCAATAAAATGAACTACAATATTTTCCCTCGCAAATCCCTTGCAAACGTAGTAGCAATTCTATAGCAAACTTTTTTATTATGTGCCTATAAAAGGCAAGTTGAAGTGATTTGGAAATCATAACAAAAACACTTACAAAACATTTTAAAAGAGAAGAAAAAAAAAACAACAAAGTTTTAAGTATTTAAATATATAATGTCTGGGCGCGGCGGAGAGCATAAATTTGCTGCCCTTGAAGCTCGTCTTCAATCTCAGGCGGAGAAAATACAACAAATTGCAGAGAAAATTCGTACCTATGATGCATACTTTGAGTACTTCGCCGAGAAAGATCCTGAGTTTGCTGCTAAGTTCGGCTTCACAAACCGTACAATGCCGAATCCAGAAACCAAACCAGAGGCCAACACAAGCACACCTGCAAGAGGAAAGAATACGACCACACCTGCAAAATGAGACAACACGACCACACCTGCAACAGGACAGAACACAACGTCTCTGTCTGAAACATTATGGTTGATGAACTTTTTTTTTTTTTTATGTTTAAGACAATTTTTTTTTTTTTCGGTAATGTTTTGTAATATACAATTTCTTTTTCAACTTGAATTTTAATCTTCATTTTATTTATTAAAAAAAATTCCAGGGTCATTTTATTACTGAAATAGCAGATAACAACAATATTGAATTGCATAGCAAATTCGCAGCAAGGTTAACCCTTATCCTTGAATCTTCCTCCTCCCCAGACCCCTCGGTCACCCCTCCCAAGTGGTACTGCAGCTTGTCGGTCTTGCATGCTCCTATACCACAACTCTCGGCGATGCCTCTTTCAACTCCGATCATCAGCTCGCCGCCGCCCAGCCACAACACTCAAGGCTTCGTTGTGTCCAAAGGAAACTAGGGTTTTGGTTGTTGGGCCTGTTCTCTTAAGGCCCAACTCCCACAGCTTATAGGCCCAGGTCCAGTTCAACATCTATTTTTTTCCCTATGTTTGTATTGTTGTATCAAGCTTTTTTTTTTTTTTTTGGCCTTGAATGTTTAGTGGATTTTGGAAGGATTTTGGTTTTTGTTTTTCAAAAACTTATTTTCAAACAATCAAGATTTTGAATTTTTGGATTCCCTAAAATTTAGTAAAACTATTTTGTTGTAATCTTCCATTCATGATTTTAGATTTTTAAGTTTTGTAAAATTTAGAGAATCTAGTTTTTAGTTTTTCTACATTATTTTACTCAAAAACCAAAAACTATATTTTTGGGATTTTTAATACAAAAAACTAATATAAAAATCTAAAACTAAAATCTATAATTCAAAAATTAAAAACCAAATCCAAAAACTGAATTAAAAAACAGCATCCATTCATGGCTTTTTTTTTTCTTTTTTTTTTTGGAAAACCTTTTAAAACCTTGTATTCCTTTGTTTTTGAATGAATGAAAACAAGATCTGTTTGTCCAAAAAAAAAAGAGAATAAGGCCTTGAATGGATGTAGTTTTTAAAATGGTTTTTGGTTTTAGATTTTAAGAAAATCAGTTTTGTAGCCATTCAATATTTTGGAAAAAGTGGATTCCTTAAAATATAGGGATTCCAGATTCTAAGAGTTTTTACCAATTTGTTAACAAAATCCAAAATCTAATTTAAATAGTTTTTAAGATTTCTTCTACGTAACTTTTTATTTTTATATTTTTTGTTTATTTTTTTTCTTTATTGTAAAATTCAAAAACTAAAAAATTAAAATCTAAAACTAAAATCTAAAATCTATAACCTAAAAACCACTTAAAAATCTCCTAAACATTCATAGCCTACGAGTGGCTGCGGAGAAAATGTTGCAAAACGTGTCGCACAAGGACGGTTATTGCGTTTGCTAGGGATACAATTTTATATTACTCGCGAATAATGCGAGAGAGCGACGTTTTTCTAGTTGCGAGGAACTGTATCTCGTTGCAAATTGTGAAGGATTTGCTATGATTTTCTTCCATTACAATACATATGTTGTTTTTTTTTTGTAGTGAACTATCTATTGTAGTATCTAAAATAAATTAACGTGTTATTTCAAAAAATTCTGTAATACGGTTTAATAATATTAATATTTCCAAAAAAGTATCCATATCTTAATTTCATATAAAATAGTTGTTGATTGATAGTTCGTCACAAGGAGGGTAATATATTAAGTAAAGGGGTCGAACAAAAATGTTCGTCTTATTGATCAGAGATCGACAATACACAGTACAAAAGGGGATGGAAACTGGTCGTCGCTAGGAGACTACGAGCCGA